GGGCGCGGATGCGGGGCTGGGGGATGCGGGGCTGGGCGATGCGGGATGCGCAGGTAGCACGGTTTCGGGGCTTGGTTTGGGGGGGCTTGTCCGTGTATCCCGGCAGGATTACCTTGTCCTGGCAAAACCTATGCTCCAGCAATCTGAGGAAGTGGCTTTTGTTAAAAGCGATTTCATTTTGAATATGATTTACTCTGATTTAAATACTAAGAAGAGAGAAATTAGTGTGTTGCGAAACTGTCGGAAAACTGAGGACCCTCTGGATGTCACTTAGCCCAGCTCGAAGCAATATTTATTCCATGATGAATCCCTGGTGGTGGGTTAGGTGGGATAGGATAGAGCTGCTGAGCTTCTTTAGGCATAGAGCTTGATTAGCTTGATTTAATTGGAAATGTTTTCTTACACCTGAAAGTTACTGTTTTATTACCAGGGAACTGTTGCTATGCGAGCACAGGTAATGGGCTTTTTAACAAAACATACTCTATTCTATTTCCCCAGTGTAGATAGATTAACTGCTTATACCTTGTGGAGTAACATTGCAAAATAAGTTGCTGTACAAGGACTATTTCTGCTTTGGTTGTATTCTGTGTGTGAGTTACTTTCATCAGGAGGTTTTAGTCTGATTCCTTGTGACTTTTTAATAGCAAGAATCAAAGAAATCTAAGTACAATATACTGAGTATTCTGTTAGAAATGAATTCTGGAGACACGGAGGAGGAGAGGGAAGGAAAATGAGGGCAAGGAAGGGCAATGGCACACAGCATTTTATCATTGTACTTATAGGAATGATATAAGGAGATAATGATATAATGTGTAGGGAGAGCAGTGGGGGGAAAAGGACGTTTAAGAAGTGAATCCCAGGTTGAAAAGTGACTGAAACTGTGCAGCTGGCATTCTGCTGCTTTGGATGAAATTGAGTTTTCAGAATTTGGCAGAATTGAAGGATTAGAAAACAAATATGTTGTGGAAAGTGCCAATTCTGTACAAGGATTTCCTGTTCCTTTGAAGATGATTTCTGTCCTCAGTAGCAGTGGGGTGTGCCATCGTGTGTAAGCAGATGAATTCTCTACGGGCTGCAGCACTGTTCTGGATGGAGTGATGAAGGACACACAGTGTTGGTAGACACGTAGTCCTACTGTGAGCACAAAATAGGTGGGACTGCTCATGAAGTAAGAGTTTTGTGAGTAAGTGGAGAGGGGTTAAGGAAACTTAGGAGGCGATGAAATAATTGCATCTCCTTTGTCCAAAAGTTTAAGCTCTGGTTGGGGAAGGAGGGGCTATTAGGTTCCTTCTGCTCCCCCTGGAAAGCCTTGGGAACCAGGCAATGGCAGAAGACATTATTCAGAGACAGGCAGGCAAAGATTTGACGGGGAAGGTGTGTTGAAGTATTGCCTGGTTCCACCCTTTGCAACCAGGACACCAGCCCCAGGCAATACTCCGATTTGAATATACTGAGTTAATATTAGAAAACAAAGTAAGAGCTTTAATGGTTTTGGGGGTTTCCTTTGAACTGCAATAAACATCCAGAAAGCAGATTTTTCATTGGAAAGCAGTTGTCTTGTTATGTGAACCTCTCGGAGATTTAAAAAATATCCCACTTCTACACAGTGTAGAATTAAGACCCCCTCTAACTCTTTTTCAGGGAAAACAATCATCCAGAATAAACACCCACCTTAACTCTCTGCTAATACCACAATGTCGTTTTGAAGTCTTCCCTTTAATGCCTGGAACTAACTACTGTTGTAATTATTGTTATTAGTGGCACTTGTAAAACAAGTGGAGATGATGGGCATTCATACCCCGCTCACCTGGTCATTGTAGTTAAGTCTACCCTCCCCTCTTTTTTGTTTAATTTGGTTCAGGTATTTGAAAAAAAAAGGTGACCACAGGTAATTACAGCCTGTCTGGAAGGTTATAAAGTTTGTATTAATCTGAGGTCTTTAAGAACAGTATATAAACTGGTCAGTCATGGCTCAAAGGCAGCAACTTTGGGCAGAGGCATAAATTGGATGTACAGGGTGAAGTCCTAGGACTGTACAGGTGAAACACCAATCTCCCTCCCAGGGGAGTTACAACACAGCCCCACATCGATAGGTTCACCTGGTGTCCAGTGTACTCACAGGTCAGTGATGCTCATTTCCATTACTACAGAGACTCTGACAATACATTATTATTAGAAATACACTGCCAGATAACGTAACAGTGTGGAAAGGGGGATATTCTGGGTGCTGGTTTGGCATCATCCCGGAGACAGTGACTTCCTGGTCTGCAGCCTGGGTGGGCAGAGATGGGGAAAGGAGCTGCCCCCAAGCCAAGCATGGTATCACTGCAGCGTTCTGCGGTTAATCACTCATTCAGTCTTCTAAGGGAAGACCACATCACATACGCCAGACAGAGGAATTGAAGCCAGTTACACAACTACAGTCTATCACGTTCTCAAAAATGTCATGTTCATAGCACAGGCGTTATCCATATGCAAGCATGCGTTACTGAGCACGTGTGTGTTTGTCTAACCCTAAAACAAAACGAGAGGTAGGATCCAGATTCTCAACTTGCAGTGGGTGTGCTGGAGGTGAGATGAGTACTCAGAAAGCTCGAGGTTGTAGATGCTGGCATGTGTTTTCCTGAGCAGGTCATAGCACTTGAGAGCTGCCCCACAAACTTTCTTGCCTACTACTTATGACCAAGAATGGACTAATGCTAGCCTGGACCTGGTGAAAGCTGTGTAACTTCCACACAGTTTATTGCTGAGAGATGAGTGTCCATGTCTGCTGCGAAGCTGTGAAGAAGCCTCCTGCTGCGGTGCTAACGGGAAGCAGGCAGAAACTACCGGACAAACCCCACAACCCCAAGACTTCCTTGGACCATGCAGCTCTCAGACCTTGCAGTTAAGAAGTGTGCTGGGTGTGGTTTTGTGTTCAGAGTCTTCATTTAAATCACTGGCATGGGTCACTCATAAAAATGACCTTTGCTGTACAGCATTGCTAAGCAGGCTTTGTGCTTCCAGGTGCACCGATGGCATCCCAAGCACTGGAGGCAGATCAGGATTTGCAGCTGTGGAAAGAGGTAAGCATCTGCATGCTGCTGTATGGTGTGCTCCATTTCTTCTGTGCCCATCCTTCCTGCAGTCACACCTCACTCTCCAGCATTTCTCTTGTGTGGCGTTCAGGTGCTTCTTCTTCCAGTCCTGCTTCTCCTGTACACCTCCTATACTGACACTAGCGAAGAGGTGAAGCATCTTATTTCCCAGATTTTCTGCACTGTTGAGGCTGGAGTTGAGATGTTCAGGGCTCAGTGGAGAGCTACGTGTGTTAACAGTCGGTATTTAACCGTCAGTGACCAGGCAGCCGTGGTCCCTGGAAGAAACGCAGTGTCCCGTCTGGTATTTTTTATAGTCTGTACACAATCTGCAGGAATTGTTTCAACTCATCCAGCCTTACCTCTTGCTGCTTCTGTTCTGCACACAGGGCTGAGACACTGTGTTTGATCATCCTATCCTAGCTTCCCAATTTCCTAAGTAAAGGATAATGTACTGTGTCAATTAGCCCCTCTAACATTTTGCTGCTGATCGCTAGCGTAACTTCCACTCTCATCTTTGAAATGAACGCTTCTTTTGGCTCTAGGATGTGACACGTGTTAACACGGGCTCTTCCCTGCCCTTTTGGAACAGGTGGAGTGGCAGGGCATAACACGCAGAGGGAATTTAGCCTGCAACTCGCACACCCTGGCATTGCTGTAACCTTCAATTATTCCATTGACATTTAATTTTGTGGCTTCTGATAACGTTAGAAAGCAAGTGACTCACCAGGGGTGCAGATGCAGAGAGTAAATTTCTTCCTACTGAGGCCATTACAGGAGACTCTTCCCTTGCTGTCAGCTCCCCTTAGCTCGTTTTGGGTGTTGACTCAAACACCAACATGTTTCGAGAGTGGCACTTGAACAAGTCCTGGTGGTATTTATCTCCTGGAAAAAAGTGGGCTTTTGGGAAAAAAGTCCTGATAGCTTTAAGGAGTTCATGAAAATGAGTTACTTACATTCTGGATTAAAAAAAAAAAAAAGCTATTTTCTGTTTTCTGCATTTATTGCTAAGATTTGCTAATTGTAATACAAGATCCATCCCTACACTAAGTGTAGGCAAAGGCAAAGTTTCCACTGATTTAAGTGAATAAACAAGTATGCACGAGATAATAAATTCCATGTGAAATTATGTAACATAATCAATATAAAACACATAACAAGCATAATGCAGGGTTGGAAAGAGTCTAAGGGAAGAGAATTAGGTGCATCGGTATATAACCTAAATCAACCTGATTACAGAATCATACTGTTCACCAGAGTTTCTTGGAGTGAAAAGACTCAGCTCTTCCCTGTTTGTTACATTATTAGTGGATCGTCCTGGAGAAGCCCTCCCTCTAAATTAACCTGGTATTTTCTGGGAATGACTCTGAGCTTATAAATATAGGAACTTTGTAACCAAGTATTGTGTTCCTTTACTTGTCTCTCACGTTCTTTTGTTTCTTTATGTTATTTAATCAACACCAAACAACTCACAAGATCCTACCCTCAGGCCACATTTCTCGGGTAGGAGGGCAAATTACCTAAATGCATTAAGGATGATAGAAACTATTACATTTTTATTTAAAAAAAAAAAAAAGAATTAACAAACTGTTGGTTTTTCCTCAGCCCTCCCTTTGTCCATGCAGGTTTTATTTGAGAGAGACATTGCCTGGCCCTGGGTCCAGCACAAAGCAATCTCTGGCTTGTCCTGCTCCTGGATTATGGTAGTTCTCTAATAGTCACCTCCAACTACAAAGCAAGCAGACAAACCAGTAAAAGACAACATTTAAAAAAAAAAAAATCCCTTAGCAAGAAGAAACAGCAATTTTTTAACGTAGGCTCCCAAGATGACTTCAGTGTGGTTTATTTCCTTCACTGCTGATTTCCCCCTCTGTTTTCTTACTCTGAAAGTAGTGAAGCTGAACTAATATACCCGGAGACAAACAACTGCGAGATGAGGGGAAAAGAGAATGGGGAGGATGTGTTACGAGCAAAAACTATTTGAAAGGGGAATTCTGTAAGTTATTAGCTTTCCCACCATCTCTGCTAATGCTTTCTCGTAGATTGTCTCTAGAGAAATGAATCATCTCTTGTCTCAAAGTACTCAAATATGCATTATTTGTTTATTCCTTTCTTTCATTTGATGTTTTCATTGCTAAAGAGTGTTCTTTAGGGCTTTTTACCTATAATAAAATCATAAGACCCATTATATTCCCTATTCTTTATTTAAAAAACAAACTTTTTTTAATGCAGTCCATGAACTAGATGACTGGCCAAGCTTTTTGGCATCTAGATAAACAGTATTAAATGTTCAATGGAAGAATCGGTGCATACAATGCAGGTTGCTCTTGATACAATTTGAAAGTTATATAATGAAATGTTAAGCCTCTTTGTTACATTATTATTAAACTGTGCAGCTTCAGTTGGAGCACTGGAAATTTTTTTCTTTTCCTTACAGACTACTTCCAGTTTCAGCACTAGTAATGCTATTTCCATGAATTCAAACATCCTTTATTCCACTTCTTCCACCCTCCCCACCCCCCTAATTAATAAGTCTGCTGAAAATGATTGAGTAGTATGAGTCTTTCATCTTAAGAGAGACAATGGAAAGAGGATGTGATTGTCTACACAAGGTCATGAACAGTAGGGAGAGGATGGGTAGGGATCACTTATTTGTTACTTCTTCCAAGGCAAGATCATGATGGCAATGAAAGAAGGTAGCTTTGAAAAGACTGATCAGGACAAACAGAAGTGGTATTTCATGCATTGTTTTCATGATGTGGTTGCTAAAAATCACGGTCGTTCAGAGAGAGATTGGTCAAATTCACTGAGCATTATTACAAAGGACCTACTTCTGAGGCTAAGTGCTTGCACTACAGATTGCCCCTGGTTGGAAAGCACGGGTTTTACTCAACCGCTGGTCTGTCTTAGGCTCTTCCCTGGCTGTTGGCATCTGGCCATTTTTGGAAATAAGATGTAGAACTAAGCGGACATTTGTTTTGATCCAGACGAAATGGGAGTTGAGACTTCTTGGTTTGGTTTGTGGATTTGTCTGTTTTGGTTTTGTGTCTATGTGTATCACATTCCATTCCGCGCTGACGTGCCTAAGCTCACCAGCAATGACTTCTTCCACAGTGGTCTATGAGTTTAGATCCCTTGAAATATATTGAATATCTTAAGTGATTTGGGAACCACATCCTTCAAACAAAATCTTGTAAGGCTCCACATGTGCCAAAGAAATCTGTGCAAACCTCAGATATTTTCTGCTCAGTGACTCACACAAACTGACATGCATAAGACGTGCTGGCACGTACCAAAATCACTCGAGACGCGTGTGTCATACACCTGCAGGGATGCTGGAATCCAACTGGAAGAGTTGTGTTTGAGGACTGCTCATTGAATCACGTTTTAGTTTTGTAATTTTCTTTGCAGTTTTGTATAATCCAAAGACATAGCAGAAGAGATTTAAGTTCATAGTTCATACCTATAAGGTTTCCTTAGGGTGGACAAACTCGCCGTGCCTTTAGCTGCTCTGAAAATATACATATTTTACTTGTTTTGATTAATCTGATTTCTTAAAGGACTGTGTGAACTTTTACAGATAGATGATGCATGTTCTGCCTACCTGTCCGCAGATTCTCAGTCTCCGGTGAGTCAGACAGAGGTTACTTTATTTTGATATTATTTGTTATATGTAGTAGGATTGGAAGTGGAAGAACTGCAATCATGTTTTCTTTGCATTAGGTGTCCAGTGCGCTGGAAGAACTTTGTTTTTCGGTCATGGGATTTCTTCAGAAACCACAGGTAACACACACGAAGGAATACTTAGCATTTCTGAAGCCTGATCTCTCAGTGTGTCAGTGTCTACAATGAATTCTGAGGATCCAGTATCTGAGAGCTGGAAGTAATGCTATCAATTCTTTCTCTGAAATGCTATGTGTCCTAATCCAACACCTTCTAAAGATAACAGGGAGACTTCAATGTTTGGAAAATAATCTCTGGGTTGGATACAAGATTTCAGGTGTTTTTACTGATCTAGATTAGAATAAAAACTGATGAGCTCTCAATGGAGAAAGACAAAGGAGCATCCATTAAACCCATTGACTCTTCTAGTGGGGCGTAATCAAAGCTCTCTACAGAGTTTAGGAAGAGTTGTTACATTGATAAGCGAAGACATGCCAAGGAAGGATGATATCCCAATTCAGTACTGAAAAGTTTATAATGTAATCAAAATTGCCCATTGCGCTTTTTTATTTTTAATTTTTTACCAAATAAAAGCTTCTCTACTGATTATTATTCCTACAGGGTTTAGATGAAAAAGACAACACCAAAAGGGTAAGATTTCTATGTATGTTTTACGATCACGTTAAAATTGTCAAGAAAATCGTAACACCCTTGCCCTGTTGTGTAGTAAAACCCCACTTTTAATTTTTTTGAACAGTTCTTATTTCATTATTCTAAGACTCATGACTCAGGCAACTCAGACATCATGGTAAGTGGCCTAGTACCTCCTTGTGAGTACGTGTGCTTGTACATAAAACCAAGGTAATGTTCCTTTCTGCAGATGTCTCTCCAACTGTATAGCAAGCTCAGAACAGACAGTTTCAAGTTTATGGTATAGAATGTGTTTTAATAACATGGGAGAGGATCATCAGTACTGTCCAAGTGGGCAAAAAAAATTACCAAATGCTCACGACATCTCAACTGCATCTTAACCTTGTAGTTACAACACTTAAGGATAAGATTGAGATCTTGCTTTTGGTACTGGAACATAATGTATGCTGTGAAATACTGCAGATTTATAGAAGCCAGGAACATGACCATAAGTATTAATTAATAAAAATTCCTAGGAGTTCTTATTAATTAAATTTATTTACGCATACATAAATATGTATCAGGCAAAATAGCATTTAAGTATCACTCAGACTTTGAATTACATTTTAAATTAAAAACATGATTTTAAAAATAACCTAGTATTGTTGCTATAAAAATATTCTCCCAAGCCAAACATAAACTAAGTGTGATCCATTCTTGATTTTAAAGTGCAAACATGATCTGTTATTTCCCTGCATCTGTCTGGTTTTTCTATACAACCTAGGATTTTGAGAAAGTTAAACAGATCCATGTTATCTCATTTCTTAGCAATCATTCTTATGTGATAATGACCATTTTAGCCTTGTTCCTTACTTTTCTTCAGAAATATGTGGTATAATTTCTAGAAAGTGATACTGCTGATACTGTGGTCAGTGTTTTCATGATAGAGCTGCTCTGGAGGTTATAATAGTAATCAAGGCACAGAGAAATTAGCTATTTCTGCTTAATAGGTTACTGCATCCCCTTTTGTCCCTATTCCAAATACCTTTGTCCCTGCCTGGCCCTAAAGCTTACTGCTTTCTCACTTCTGGTGTAGCTGTTCAGGTGAGTTCTCAGAGTTACTAGCTGAGGTGAGATCCATCATTCTTTGGCTTTATTAACCTCTCTCCACTCACTGCAAGACAGAGCCCAAGTGGCCAGCTGTGATGCCCTTTAATTCCTCCACAACACGTGGAGGAGTAAAACCTCTGCTTTTTTAGATGAGTCTGCATTGCCCACCTTAGGCAGACAGTGCAAAATTGGCTCCAAGTAGGCAAATTCATTTTACCTATTAAGTAATCTATCACTTTGGTGACTCTTAACTATTCCAGAAATTATATTTCTCTTTGTTGAATCACTTTTCTAGGAAATTTTGTTTAAAAATAAAAGGCATTATTTTTTAAATTATGTGTATGTGAGTGAAGGTTGAAACTGGATGAGGGAAAAGAGGCTTTCTACTTAATTCTCACAGTGGACCTCTCCCCACAAGCCCACATGGTTGCGTTTTGTCAGGGGAGCACTTACGCTGCACACCATGTCACTGTGCTTAACCAGGCTGTCTGCACGCATAAAGCCTTGTTGAACACAAGGAATTCCAGGATTTGAGCTTCTCTTTTAGGTAGTGACCAGTGCCACAGTTATGGATTTCACTTGAGAATGGACCCCTCCTGCGAACAGTTTTCTAGCCAGAAGATCACTTCTCTTGCTACAATTTAAGTTATTTTGAACTAAAATTAACTTTTCAGTACGACGGAGATGAAAGCTGTTATTTTCCATAGCAGATAATCGTAGAAATGTTAGTAGGAGTAGTGTGAGGAAATGTTCTCTGTACCACTCACAGGGGTTGATCAAAGCCTGAATAATTGCAATTGCCTGGGCAAGAAGTGTGTAAAGAGTTTTGAACTTTCAATGCGTAAAGGTGAGGACACATAGCTTTTCCCTCCATCGCTGTTTGAGTCATGTTCATAGTGTAAATATAAATGTTGGTACCTGTTTGGTGTCAAGCCAGAATGTTCAAAAAATAATTCTCTCAATTAACATCTTCAGTTCTTTTTTGGTGCGTGTTTGGTCCATAAGCCAATAATGTGGGAAGAGGCTTTTTTTTTTTTTTTTGCATCATAAGGTCTGAATTTCATTGTTGCTCATGTGTCTGTGTTCGTGTCCTCTCAGTCGTCTGTCCTGCATCCCCTGCTGCAACTCGTTCCCCAGCTTAATGAGAGAAGACTGAAGAGATACAAAGTGGACGTATGTAAACTTAAACTCTGCATGCTTGCTTTCTCACACTGTGTGATTCATTAGCTCTTCAAAAAATGTCCTTGGAGTCCTTTCTGCTCATAACATTTTTATTTCCATGACTCGATACCACACTAGTGTATTTTCATTAGAAACGTGATTTTTTTCCCCCTATTCTTTAATCAGTGAAAAAAAATCCTGCTGATATTTTACATTTAAAACAAAAAACCCACTGAAGTAATATATGCTTAACACAGAACAATGGTAGAACAAAGAGCCTACGTCTCAAACTGGATTGTTAGTTCTTTTATAAAAAGAATTTTAAAATTATTTGCAGCATTATATTGCTCGAGTTATATTTTCTAGGGGGGAGAGAGTGTCTTTTTTTTTTTTTCCCCTGTTTGAATTTCAAACCATATGTGCTCCTTAAATGTATATTATTTATGACTTAGAGCACTGAGAATTTCTAAGTAATTTCTAGGCAGTTTTACTGTTTAACTTCAGATGTAAATACGGAAGTTCTCTATGGAACTAATTGTCCATAGAGAAGTAGTGCATTTTGGAATGAAAGTGTCACATAGAGAGAAATAACTAAATTTCAAATAATAAATATATAAATTAAATAATTCAAATAATAAATTCAATATATTTCAAAAATCAATAGGCAGATGGCTATCAATGTCCATCTCTTTAATGCAGTGATGGAGAGAAGAGAAAAATGCAGGCTGATCTATAAGAATTTTTCTCTATAACACTGCTGAAGATTCCTGGATAATAAAGCATACCAAAATCCAAGATCAGATTCCTCTCGTTTGACGTTGACTTCATCTTGGTTCTTCCTTAGACTTA